TGCCTGAGTTCAGAATATCAAACAAATCATTGAAGACACATAAAAATATTTGCAGTGTTTGAAGCCACCTTAAATTGATCCAATTGGAATATTTCATCACAAAAAGTTAAACACTTTGCAACACTTTCACTTAAAGTTTGAGCAGCTAAATTTACCTTCTGCTTGTTCCTGTGCCAATTTATGTGACTGCTTGTCAATTTATTTGCTAATTTGAGACCCGTCTTTACCTGTGTGCTATGCTGATTACGTATATCGTGCCAAGAAATCAAATGCCCAACACCATCCTGCATTATTTTACGACCAGCTAATGCATTACGTACCAATTTGAGCATGGGGCAAACGTCCATTAGATAATGCACTTTGTGTTGTTTTAAATAGCAGGTTGAGGAGATTTGGAAAGGGGAACTCCGTTCAGTGTCCAGATTCACTTAGATTTACCTTTAATTGCATGTCCGTACAGTACAGTGCACCAGATCATAGTGAGAGGGACAGGATTAGGAAATGTACACAATAACATAGAGCCTGCCAAGGCCTCCTTGTAGTGTCAATTTTTTTCTTTTTAGTTTCTGGAATCTTGTAAAGCTGCTGTCTTTTGCTGGTATTTTTATCAACATCCTGTATGTATTTTTTATGATAGGGGATGCCAGGACTGAGATTACTTTCTAATAATGATTTCTGACTGTATGACTCACCCAAATTTTGCTTTCCAACAACCGCACTTAAACGGAAATCAGCTGACTCTGACGTGATGTAACGGTTAGACTTGGGTGCCTTCCTGGCCATCATGAGTTATTTCCCAGGTACCAGCACTTGCCGAGATGAAATTTGTTGCAAGTTTTGCACCGGATTCTCTTCTTCTGCTGCTGGCCGCCATATTCGTTTTGATCGCCGCCATGGTTGTTATGGTTACCACCGCCTCCTCTCCCTCTTCCGCCATCGGCGCCATTTCGCTGTGTGTTTGAATTTGATCCAGCAAACTTCGCAGACTCAATTCTTCCTTCCGCAGCTTCTTTCTGGCCTTCACTCACTAGTTTAGAATAAATAGTTTCAAATTTCAATGTGCCACCATCGCTACTGTTCTTATCGGTGACACCGCAGGGTAAGGGCGCTTGGTTGAATGACGCGTAATACGTTGAAAACATGAACCTTTTCTCGCAACATTTGAGAAATACAACTTAATTTAAACATATCCACACATTTACCGTTCTCCACGAATCGTATGCAAGACCACCGGCATCCTGTGGACAATCAATAAACTCTCTCCCCACTCGCTCACTCCGAGTTTGGCCAGCCCAGCGTAAACAAGTGGTTGTTTTTATCCTTGACCATCGTTCAATCCTCACATGAGTATTCACTGAAAACACTAGATTCGGAACACACATATACTTTACAACAGGCCATCCTTATGACACGACAACCCCAAACTCTGGCGCGCGCTAACATCAATGATGAAAACACACTCGACAAACATAGTGCACGGCTCAAAAACAAAAGCCAAGGAACAATGTTTAGAAGTACCTTACTCGTCCAAGCGCTAACACAAGATGCGAGCCGGGCGCGACGTACCGTCGCGCGAACAGTCGAACCGTGCCGGGTTGGTTGCGCACCAATTCATCAAATAAGACTTGAACTGACTGAATAGCTATTAAAAAGCCTTGAAATCCAACTTTTCTCTTCGTAGCAAAACGGAGACAAAATTTTTCCCCTTCTGATATTTTACTTTTAAAGCGCCAATACATTTTTTTGCTTTGTCTAGAAATTTCTTAAACCGATTAGAGTTATTAAGTGTCATTAGACGCTTCAGGCCATAAGTGTTTAAAGTGCCTGAGTTCAGAATATCAAACAAATCATTGAAGACACATAAAAATATTTGCAGTGTTTGAAGCCACCTTAAATTGATCCAATTGGAATATTTCATCACAAAAAGTTAAACACTTTGCAACACTTTCACTTAAGGTGAGGTGTGGGTGAAAATAGGAAATCGGTAACGAGAAGTCATGATGTACAGACACTTTTACAGTATGATAGGCATGTGAAAAAAACATTTTTGACAAAGTACGACCGAGATTGGTCCAGTGGTTTGGGAGTTATGGGCATTTTAAGGCAAAGTTAGGCCATACTTTGAAAAATCACTTGCGCATTAGATTTGACAGTAAAATTCAACCAAACACATTTTTGGTTTTCTTTTATCCTGAAGAACAACTTTACAGAGAGAGATTTCCTTTTTAGCCCCCTAAACATTCACAGCAATGTGTTTTATCAGTGCTTCACAGAAAACCTTAAAATTTTGCCATGTTTTGTGATTTATTTAATTTTCAATGAGAAATTTTACTGTCTATTGCACATATCTCTCTGTAACTTTGTTCCCTGTACAGAAAAGGATTTTTCCCCTTAATATAAACACACTCACACTGAATCTAATGCGCAAGTGATTTTTCAAAGATCAGAAAACATAGTATCGTGAAGAACGACTTTAAACCTTAAACATGAGCTTAAATCATAAAGTGGCATTTCGAAATTAAAGTAAAAGTAAAGACCCGAACAAAGACCAAGCATGCATTGGCAGAGAAAGGGCGCAGGAACATTTTAAGCACAGAAAACAAGTTCAATCATTTTATGATTTTCGCATAAATTTTCACCCACACCTCACCTTAAAGTTTGAGCAGCTAAATTTACCTTCTGCCAATTTATGTGACAGCTTGTCAATTTATTTGCTAATTTGAGACCCGTCTTTACCTGTGTGCTATGCTGATTACGTATATCGTGCCAAGAAATCAAATGCCCAACACCATCCTGCATTATTTTACGACCAGCTAATGCATTACGTACCAATTTGAGCATGGGGCAAACGTCCATTAGATAATGCACTTTGTGTTGTTTTAAATAGCAGGTTGAGGAGATTTGGAAAGGGGAACTCCGTTCAGTGTCCAGATTCACTTAGATTTACCTTTAATTGCATGTCCGTACAGTACAGTGCACCAGATCATAGTGAGAGGGACAGGATTAGGAAATGTACACAATAACATAGAGCCTGCCAAGGAGACTACAAGTATGAGAAATTTTGAATTACATACAAAGTAGTGCCCTGATTAAGACATATCAGAAATTTGCAGAACACAGAAGGCAAAACATTCTTTCAGTTTTAGAGCTATATTTACGAGTAGAGAACTTGCATATCACAACACTGCGCCTCAATTTTTCGAACACATTG